TCCAGCTGGAACATTACATGTAGAAAGCTTTTCACTGTGAAGTGTTTGGAATTTACCACAAATCCTATAAAACATTTCAACCTTTCGATACTGGAACAGTTGCTTTTGCTTTTAAAGGGCAAAATGCCCATATAACAGTAATAAGTCGCTGTAGTAGCAACAAAATGAAAGTACTGCCACTTTCCCAGTCAATCATTACACTGTTTCTGAGCTGCTCAGTGCAGCCCCACTCTGTCTCAATGATTCCAAATGTTACTCCAAAGTCATTATTACAAAGCTGAAGAGTTGTTCCTTAATGCTGGCATAATTTGCTTTAAACCAATACTGTAAATGGGAAAATAATCCTACTATTCTGAATCTTATGCTGATGAGACAGACTGTGTGCGTGAGCAAAGTAGTGTTACCTTGTAGTTACAAAAGAAATGCTTTATGCCACTAGCAGCAATGCCAAACTCCCATTACATCATTCCTGTGGTAACTTTGAAAACTGTGCTTTAGTAAAATGAAAAAAAACCTTTTTCAGGGAGATATTCTTCCTCCCTGTCATATTCCTCTGTGCCACTGAGGCTATCCTCAGCCAGTAGCAAGTGCCATGGTATACATGTTAAAGAAATTGAAGCATCTTTAGAAACATCTAACTGAGCTGAAAAAGAAGCCTACCATAAAAAGAAGGTTTAGCGACAATGAGTTGGATGTCTGTCTTTGGGCAGGAAAGATAAATAGTCCAAGCCTTACTGGGTTGTTTATAAATCCACATTTATAAAGAGAGTAAACTGACTCAAGCAGGTGGTTGTCAAAGAAAATGCTCAAAAAACAGTTTTGCAGCATGGTAGTTTTGTAGCATGTTTCTGTATCAGGGCTGGACTTGAACTTTGGTGTATTATCAGCTGTTTAGGATATAGCAGTGTTTGGAATGGCAGTAGGGTAGATACCTATAAAGACCCAGGCTTTGTTAGTCAATACACAGGCAAACTAGTATTTGAATTCAGAAATATTGCTACATTTGCTTTTTCTGTTTTCTGACTGTGTTCTTAACAGTAAATTTTGAGCCATGAATCACTGCTGCCTTTTTAAACACCATATTCAATAATTTTGCTACGAGCCAAGTTCAGCCAAGTTTGAAATTTTACCACTGAGTAACACTGAGAAATAGTTCAAATCCTGCTGTTGCAAACCTATTAGAACAAAGGAATGCTTCGTAATCAGAGCAAGAACTGCAGATAATCACTGTGGGCTTTGAACCAAAACCCTGGTGACTGCAATACAGTGACACTCAGACGAAAAACCTCAAACTGCTGAGTCATATCTGCCTCAGCAAAAGGAGCAGCACACTTGTTCAATCAGCCTTATCTTTGCCTGTTTTATCATATTAAGATTTTAGAATGTGTATTTAAATGTGAAATGCACTTAATCAAAGATATCAAGATACAAGGTAAGGGTAAAGGCATGCAGATGGCAATTTCCTATGTGAAGAACAGAAAAAAATGTGATTATTGTCAGGAACAGCAAAGAAGCATCCAGATCTGTAAATAAATTAACAAACAAAATATTTTTCTCTGAGATAGTATGGCACATCTATTTACACGAAGTCATAGTGTTGGCACTCAAAACTAATGGGCTGTTAGCCTTTCCCAGTCACTGTGGACATTTTCTTACTTAGAACAGCTTTCTGCAGAATTTTCAAACCAAGTGAAACAGCCTTATGGCAATCAATGAAAAAAAATTAAGGAAAAGTGATTCAAGAAAAGTAATGATAAATGTGATACTCTCTTGGCATAATCTGAATGGATAAAAGGCAGGTTGCAAATAATAGCACATTAAAAGGCTAAACTTCAATCAACAATCTTCTTCAGAGAGGTTTAAAAGTAGTGTCCAATTCACTTTTACTTATCTCCCACTTTAATCCTTTCACCTCTCTTTCCTTTGGCCTTCTGTAACTTAATTGCATTGTACGATAAGAACATCCAGCTACAACCATTTGTTTTTGTCTTTCACTTCCCTCTTCAGCTCCCTTTGCAGGTCTCTCTGGGAGCAGTTCTGACTTAGCCTCTCCAAAGGCCCCCACCACAGTGTCACATCTCGTTTAGTTCTGTTTCTGTTCCTCCCTATTCTCGAGCTAATTTTTTTTTCTCAAGGCTTACAGTTAATCATTTCCTTTGTAGTTTTTTTTCTACAAACCACATCTATCTGGAACTCCTTACTGCACAAAATACATCTTTTGGTACACTAACCCAAAGAGCCCGAGGCATATGTGTTTAAGAGCATCTTAAAACCTTCAAATATACCATCATACCTCTATGGTAAAGATTTTGTCTCATGTTTCCTTTTTGTTGGATGGGTTGTGGTTTTTTTGTTGTTGTTGGGTTTTTTTCTGATTTAGATAACTTTCTCGGAACAGAAACAACATTTACCTTTGTAAGAACTTTTTACTGAGAAAGTATAGCAAACTGTCAACACCAAAAAATAATATCCATGTCCTGATGTTCTCATTCATGAAAAAAATCTTTCTTGCCTTCAATGGGAATTTTCTTTCCTCTTGAATTTGCCTATTTAAAAATAACATCTCATGATCTCCTAGGTTTCTGCCATAGTCATCTTTTCTGATTCTAGTTCCACTGGGTCATTATTAAACCATTAGACTGGGTTTTTGAAAGGAGCTTAAGGATTTTAGGTGCCTAAGTCTCAGTGAAATTCAGCTGACCTTGGGCACCCAAATTCAGAGGGCTCCTTGGTAAGTTCCAGACTCAGCACTGATCTGGGTTTGCCTCCTGGACTCTAAAGTTACACTGGGGAGCACAATGTTTGAATTTGGTTTCACTTCTGAAGAACTCACACATTCAAAATTCCCACCATAAAAGAAGCAGGGGGCAAATAGAGATTAATCTCAGAGGAAATCAAGGCCACAGTCTTTGTGCTTCTTGATTTTTTTATATCACTGTGCACTGAGTCATACCCAGCTAGTTCAGAGTTCATCTGCAACACAGAAGTAAAATTTAAAGCTATCACAACCCAAAGCCACAATTATTGACAGATTTGAAGTACCCAAGTTTGGGAAGTCTGGAAGATATAAAGAAGGCAATGAGGTTTTGCCACATACGTGATGCGTTTAGATAATCTAAAAATAAATAATTAAATTGTATCTAAAGTTCTCTAAGTATTTTGAAAAAACTAATTGATAAAATGAAACTCATAAAAAAGAGACATTTGTTTGGAGACAATTTTCTGCTTGCAGATACTTCCATACAGACTTTCTGGGCCATATTTATGGTATTATCAGCTGAATGGTGAAAATAAGTGATGTCTGCAAGGCAAGGCACAGCTTATTAGCACGAAATACCAAATGGAAAGAGT